TTATGTGTTTTACTATAAGTTGTGTTTCACTATATAAGTTTTAGATGTGTGAACAATGAGAATACTGAGATGATTTCAGCTGATCTGAATGTGTTTGCTTTGCAGAAGTGGAGAAGTACAGGAGAGGAAGAGACATGAAGTCTGAGGAGCACATACCGCAATGCTTAGATAATTAGTTTCATATATGGTAAAAAGAATAGAAAGTGATGTACAGATAGTAAGGTACAGCACGTGTAGGGAGTTGTGTTGTTCTCTTGTCTTTCAAAACAGGAACCATGCCCCCACCGCCAGCGGGAAGAAGTCAGATTAACACGAGGCAGGGGCGTGGTGTGGTGAAGGAGGAAGTGGAACTGCCAATGAGAAGAGGACAACGGCTTGCGTGCACAATGACACTCTGTTATGCTCAAATATACTGGGTCAGGGGAAGGACAGAAGGTCAGACTTCGTGAACTGACACACCGTTGTTGTTCGTCAGGGACGTGAAGTTGAGACCCAGAGCTCTGTAATTTTATTCCTTTACTGCTTAATAAACTACATTAACTGAGACCGAATATCTTCTCCTATTGCTTCATTAAAGAACACGCAGGACTGAGCTCACACATAGCACACTGGAGAGTAGGACGAGCCGCGAGTCCATCAAAATGTACTGGAACGCATACCAGGATCTTTTCAGAAAAGGCCCTGGTGCCTTCCGGAACTAATTTGCATGAGTCTATAACTTTCCACATCTAAAAAATATAATAAATGGCTGCAAAACATTATGTAGGCCTACCTACATTGATTTAAAGTTGTTGTTTTTTTCAAATGGGTCCTAATCGCTAATTTGGCACTGTCAGATATTAGACAGCAATAAAATCCAATCACAAAATGTCTCGTGAACTCAACAGTCCCATTCAAGGTTCTGATTGGTTCACACTCACATCACCTGTCAGAAGCCACTCATTTAAAAAAAACATATATATAGCTATAGCTATAGCTATAGCGTTAACGTCACTTACTTGGGCACTGGGTAGTTATCAAAAATGGCTAGGAAGAAACAACAGTTGCTCACTGGACTTTTTAAAAGAAAGGAAGATGAAGATGAGTGGGATGATGGCCAGCCAATGACCAAACATCCTAAAAATGTTCAAGGTAACTTTAGCTAGCCTAGGCTACAAGTTTGAGCTGCGTTAGCCTGCCACCACCGCTAGCTGCAGCAGAAGGAATAGCAAAAGGCCAAGCTAATGTTTGTAAAGTGCATTGTGTTGCCTCTGTGTATGAAATGCTCTATATATAAAAATTCATTTCTATTCAGCGTAGCTGATCGAGAGCAGAGCAGGCCTGAGAATGCCAATGGTGGTGAGGAGAATGTGGAGGAGGAGAATCATGGGAAGAGCAAGAGCTGTGACGAAGATGGAGGAGAATCGGGAGAAATCTGGACCGAGGCTCAGGTCAAAAATAAGAAGAGATTCTACCCTTGGCTCGTAATCATCAACAGGTCACGTGTGGGCTGTGCACCTGCAAAGAGGTAGGCTCTTCTCTTCTCCCAAGCAGAGAAGAGCCAGGGTCTGGGGTTATCCAGAGGATGGGTGACATGCTCTGTAACGTCCACTGCCTCAGATCAGAAAAAGAAGCAACAGACTCTAAGGAAGAAAATATGGGAGCATCAAAGAACTAAGGCTCATCTTGCAGCAGTGAACATTTTAGAAAAGGCGAAGGAGGACATTTTGACTAACACTGTTGTCAATGCCCAATCCGAACGGATAGCCACAACGTCAAGAGTTTTCAGAACAGCATACAAAGAGGCTAAACGTAACAGACCTGCTCATGGCTTTGAGCTGGAAATTGACTGTCATGAGCTAAACGGAATCAACATGGGCCGAATTTTACATTCAATCTTTGTTTGTTCTATCATTCAGCAACATATTGCTTATGAAATGAAGAAGAAACTATTTGAAAAAATAGTTTAGTGCGCTCCCAAAATAAGCTTGATTCTGGACGAGTCAACCAGTTTAAATAAAACCAGTGGTTTAATTGTGTATCTAAGACTCTTCCTGCCAAACATGGAGACACCCTAGAACATTTATGTAGACCTCGTATAGCTACAAGACTTGACAGCAGAAGGGATTGTGTGTCAACTTTTATCAGCTTTGGAGCGTGTTGGACTTAACAAGGACTTTCTCTCCAAAACACTAATTGGAGTTTCTTGCGATGGATCCTCCGTTATGCTTGGACGTAGGACAGGAGTGGCAACAAGGCTCAAAGCCATGTTCCCAGGTATCATAGTTTGGCACTGCTCGGCACATAGATTTGAACTCAGCGTTAGCGACGTGGTGAGCGAGATGGGAGCTGTCAATCACTTAAAAATTCTAATGGACAAGTTGTATGCAATGTACAGCGTGTCAAACAAGAACAGACTGGAGTTAAAAGAGTGTGCAGATAGTTTAGACATCCAGCTGTGCAAAATAGGACGCATCCTGGACACAAGGTGGGTCGCTTCCAGTCTTAGGTCAGTCGAAGCGGTGTGGAAGAATTTCCCGGCCCTCCACAAACACTTCACTGTAGCAGCAGAGGATAGCTCCCATGACAGCAAAACCCAACAAACCTACAGAGGTCTCGCCATGCGCCTCTCTTCACGTGCATTTGTAAATAACATTGGCATTATGTATGATGCGCTGCAGGAATTGTCAGAGCTGTCCCTTGTATTTCAAAAGCATGGCTGCACAATCATTGACGTGCACAGGGCAATCAGCCGGCAGGTGATGGTGTTTCAGGCCATGTCATACATGCACCATACAGGCACCCACAGCCTGCTGAGTCAGCAGGGAATAGACGAGGGCTCATTCCAAGGTGTCCCCCTTAACCCTGGTAAACCCAGCGACAGAGCCCTGTACCAGAAGGAGTTTTTCGTGTGCCTGGCAAGGCACCTGGAGGAACGCATGCTGTCACAGGGAGGGCAACGAGGTTCTGGTGATAACACTGACTACAACAAGCTTATCGATGACCTAAAAGTGCTTTATGCACAGTACTGGCCCGAGGACGCAGGCCCATTGTATGGAGAAGAGGAAGTGATGTCTCTCTGCTGTCAGTTTGGGATCGACAGTCCACGGATTGCTGTTCCCGCGTACCGGGAATACAGAGAGAATGGAGGAAAATCTGTCCCAGATGGATTAAAAGTCCTTTTCGCCAGTGTCTCCTCCATCCCCATATCCACGCGGAATGTGAGCGTGGATTCTCTCAAATGAACTTCATCTGCTCCCCAAACTGGGCCTCCCTCCAAACCTCCACACTTTCATTGCTACTTTTCCTGAACCTGGCGGGACCACCCTTGCCCAGATTCAACCCCGAGCCATACGCCAGGTCGTGGATTACCAAAGGACACAGGACAGCAGATGACACGCGGAGCAATGTCCGAAACCAGGAGAAGAAAGAGGGATCTATGGCTGCAGTGTGGGCTGTTTTGGATAAATAAATAAGATAAGACACAGAGCCATTTGAATTTTGGTATGTGTTCAGTGGTTATTATTTGATGGCGGAGGAGGTGGTGGTGGTGGTGGTGGTGGTGATGATGATGATGATGATGATTATTATTTTGTATAGACAGCCCTCTAAGATGAATCATTTCATTTTCACACAGGGGTTGATGACGTTGAATTGGCTAGGCTGCAGTGAGTCCTGCGCAGTGGCGATTGCTCTAAGACTGCAAGGGAAGCTCAGCTTCCCCTAAACTGTCAAAAAATAAGTGGTCAAATATGTACTGTTGTGTTTACATTTCATTGACTAAATATGCGCTAGAACGCGTTCAACTTTTGTTCAGAATCAGCTACTTATCACAGGTCACTGACGCGACTTTCTTCTCATTCATTCCCGTAGCGTCACAGTGCGTTAAACAGTGAAAGCTCAGCGTCTAAAGACTTCAATAGGGAAGAATAGAGTGGGTTGTTCCACTACAGCGAAACTAGACAGTCATTGGATAAATGCTCGGTTTTGTCCTGCCCATCGGACGCTCAGCATCTCTGGGGGTCTATGGGGCAGTGGGCTGGCCTCGGCTGGCCTGGACGCTGGGCTTCTGCATGATGATTGGATGATCTGTCTGAGGCTGAATCCCTTTTTGATTGACAGCGAAATGAGCGAATCAGCAATCTTGAAATATAAACCACCACCGGACCATTTTTCAAGTTTCATTCCGTTGTTCTGAGTTGATCTGGAGACCTTTCCAATCCTCTTAGTGACTTTTTCTTTGTTAAAAACGACTAGCGACAAATCTAGCATCTTTTTCAGGTGTTATTGGAGACTGTACTTGTGTTTGGAGACTCTGACTTCTGTCGCTCTGCAGTTACTGTCCCCAACGAGCAGCAGGTGCTGCTGTGAGCCGCTCCACCGTCCCAAAGCACTCACAGGCGGTCACACTAGCCTCGCACAGCAGCCCCAGAGGGTAGAATTTACGTATAAATAAACGGACACATTTTATGATGTAGGCCGAAAATGAGCTTCCGCTCCTTGAAAGACCAGCAGCCGCCACTGGTCCTACGGTACATGGAATTAACATTAAATGGCATGTGGAC